CCCCAAAACCCCAAAACCCCAAAACCCCAAAACCCCAATATAAGGTAGGTGAATTGAGTACAATTGTATTTAAAAAAATCTTATTTATGGAAGCAACAAATCTTGAAAATTATAGAGCAAGGACTACTAAGGAAGGAGCAGATGTGGATGGATTCGGGTCTAACTTTGCAGCAGTATGTGGGCTCCAATGGGGAGATGAAGGAAAAGGAAAGTTAGTCGACATCCTCGCTGAGAACTATGATATTTGTGCAAGGTTCAACGGAGGAAATAATGCAGGTCACACTGTTAAGGTTGGAGGGGTTAAATATGCATTCCACCTACTTCCATCAGGAATTCTCTATGATTCCTGTGTGAATATTCTTGGAAACGGAGTAGTAGTTGATGTTTGTGGACTCTTTGAAGAGATCAAGCAGATTGAAACCAACAATATTGACTACTCTGGAAGACTTTTCCTCTCTTCTAGAGCACATCTTGTTACTAAGATGCACAGACTAGCCGACCAACAATCTGATGCTAAGAAGGGAGACAAGAAAATTGGAACTACAGGAAAGGGAATTGGTCCTGCCTATGCAACCAGAGCTTTGAGAATTGGACTCAGACTTGGAGACTTCCTCGATTGGGATCTCTTCGCCAAGAAATACGACACTTTTATTGAAAGAGCAAGCGAATTCTTTGGAATTGAGGATTATGATAAAGAAGAAGAACTTGAGCTTCTCAAGAAACATAGAGATACTCTTGTAGAGAACAAGATGATCATCAACACTGAAAGCTATCTTCACAAAGCTCTAGGAGATGGAAAGAAGATCATGGCTGAGGGAGCTAATGCTCTGATGCTTGATATTGATTTTGGAACTTACCCATTTGTCACCTCCTCCAACCCCTCAATTGGATCAATTTGTACTGGGTTAGGTGTCCCTCCTCAAGCAATTGAAACTACTGTTGGAGTAGTGAAAGCATTCACTACAAGAGTAGGAGAGGGATACTTCCCGACCTATCTCGAAGATGAGGTAGGTGTACATCTCCAAAAGGTCGGTAAAGAGTTTGGAACTACAACTGGAAGACCAAGAAGATGCGGATGGCTTGACTTGAATGTTGTTCAATATGCTACTCTTATCAATGGATGCTCTTCTATAAACCTTACTAAACTTGATGTTTTATCAGGACTCAAGGAGATCAAGGTCTGAGTTGGCTATAAAATGGGAGATATTGTCCTGACTGGAGAAGTTCCTCCAAACATTGAAGATTTTGAAAATTGTGAAGCCATTTACGAAACTCTACCAGGATTTGAAGAAGATATTAGGTAAATATTTTAGATTTTTTGTTTGTTTAAAGAATCAAAATTACTCTGAAAATAAGTGATTTATACTCATTTCATTTTAACACTTTTAATATAGTGAGGTGAAGAAGTTTGAAGACCTTCCAGAAGCTGCTCAAGAATATGTAAGGTTCGTAGAGAAGTTCCTCAACATTCCAATCACCTGGATTGGAGTTGGAGCAGGAAGAGATGATATCATCAGGAAGAAAGGGTTCGTCTAATTAAAGATCTTAACACTTTCAGTTAATTTATTACAAATAGGGGTTTTGGGGTTTTGGGGTTTTGGGGTTGGGGTTTTGGGGTTTTGGGGTTTTGGGG